TTGTAGTGGCTAAACAATTGCTTAATAATTCACTATAATATTTGTGATGGGAGAGAAAGAAATAGATTTACTTTGTTCAGTAAAAAAAAAAAAAAAGATAAACGATCTTGATTAAGAAGGAAAGTCAAAAAAAAATATATAATAAATAAATAAATCAGAAGAACGGTTTAACCCTCTTCCACAAGGAAACTGAATCCCTTCTATCTGGGGGTGTTTTTTTTTTTTAACACTTTTCCCCTTGGGTGTCAACGCTGTGAGCATTAAAGCTATGCAACACGGCCCGGCCCGGCCCATACAGAAAAGCACGGTCCGTCTGATATATATATAGACACATACTTATTTATATAGTTCCATCCAATTGCATCCTTTGAACAATTTCATTGAGTCTCTTATTAGGGTTTTGTCTGTTTTACAATTTATTATTCCGTAATAATCTCTGGTTATGGCTGACGAATGTGCTTCTCAAGTCTTTTCTTGTGATTCTGAAACACGAGAAAAGAGATCGGAAGTAGATGTTTATGATCATTCAATGAAAATCGGTAAGAAAGCCTCTTTGCTTTGTTTAAATAATAAAAGTTTTGATCTAACTCTATATCTTTTTAAAAAGAGAGATGGTTAGTAATTGAGAGGATATTTCGGATTCAATCATATTCTATTTCTAATTTTATAAGAAATAAAGTCCAAGTTTACTTCGTAGTGGCTAGTATTTGTATAATTATGTTTATGATGAGAGAGGAAAACATAGATTTGCTTTGGTGAGGGAAAGAGAGGTAAAATTAATAAGGAAAGCAAAAAAGAAAAAATTGGTTGTATCTTTAATTTTTTAAAAATGATTATTGCACTAAATAGGTACAGAGAAACAAATAAAGAAGTGGGGGTTAGAAAATTCAGTACAGGTGTGTGTATCACTATTCTATATTTTTTTAATTGAAAATAAAATAAAAGTTTGTCCAATATAAATATTTCATTTTGCTATGCACTATAATTGGTAATAAAAATATAAAAACAAATAAAGAAGTGGGGGTTAGGCTATTCATTACAGGTGTGTGTATCACTATTCTATATTTTTCTAATTGAAAATAAAATAAAAGTTTGTCCAATATAAATATTTCATTTTGCTATGCACTATAATTGGTAATAAGAACTAGTTGAGAATTTGTACTTAACAGCTCGAGACACCCGACGTATAGCATTGTTTTTTCCACACCTAAATTTAAACACTTGTATTAAATTGCCTAATCGAATGGAGGCTCCACTTTCTTATTTGTTGCATGATGAAAATAATTCTTACATCGATTTATTATTATTATTTTTAATTAGTCTATTTATGCAGTAAATAAAAAAGTGAAATTTTCACTTATTTATGCATAGATAACCAATCAAAAACATTCAATTAAATAATTCCCAGTAACAAATTGTTAAAAATATCACTACTCTCCCCATATAGTATATATTGTTGGACATTAATTGTAAATGTGTGTACATATAGGAAAATAACAATCTTAAATGTACAAATAGCATATCCTAATGGACACTTGGCTATATGATGTAGAACTTTACAATTGCTTTTACAGACAGTTATTTGATACTCGTCCCACGTGCATGTTGACATATTTGCCCTCGTTATATACTAACAACATTTATTAACATAATTGTTAGGTGAAGCATCTTCATGCAAATGATATTTTCTCAAAATCTCTACTGATTATATTTTCATGGACAATAATTATAAATGGATTAAAAAATTAATTCGACACCAACATTCTGGCACATCTAATGTCAGAACCGAGTCACAATGGCCAGAGTTGTGACTTTTCTCTCTCTACAAATTTTAATGATAAGATCAATTAATTAGTCAAAAAAAATAAAAGTTGGACGAATTTTTATTAGCATAATCATCTTTCGGGAGTTTTTTATTTTTTATTTTTTTTTATTTGGAAGATTTCAAGATTAGAAAATTATTTTTCATGTAAATTCTTTTACTCTCAAATGACTAAAAATGATTTAGCAAAACAATTTTCGTCACATGTTACCTTATGTCATCTAACCATCGGTATTCTTATTAAACCTCTATGTCCCTCTAACTATTAATCTTTTTCGGTCCTTCCAATGTAAAAATCTAATATTCAACTTTCTCTCTCTATATGTATACATGGAGTGAGAGAATAGAGAAAGAGGGACATAAATTTGAATTGGTCAAGTATCATATTTGGGTTGAGAGCATGTTCTAGAGAGAGTGGAGAGAGAAAGTAACGAGAATGAGAGGAATGGATGGTTTAACATAAAGAGAGAGAGTAACGAAAAGAGAGAGATGATTTAGGGGGTGTTATTCCTGTTGGTGAGGAACACTGGAGAAAGAGATAGAGAGAGAGTTAATTGTGAGTACTATTTCCTGTTGGTGATGAACATTGAAGAAAAACTTAATTTTGCACAAAAGCTGATCTAGAAAATATTTTACGACCTATTGCCAAACACCGAAAAATAAAAAATAATATTTTACATAGAAAATGTTTTTTTTAAAAAATATTTTATGGAAAAAAAAAAATCATAAATCATGAAATAACCTATATGGCCAGAACCAAATGGGCACCAATCGAATATGTCTAAATCAGCTTTTGTACAAAATTTAATTTTTTTTTTTTTTTTTTTAATTTTGGGTTTTGGGTTGGGTTCGGGTTGAGCCCGAGCTCAACCCGAATATGCCTGGGTTTTGACAAAATTCAACCCAAATATGAGCTCGATTTGTGAATTGTATGTCAAATTTTCAAAAATTTTGGGTTAGGTTTGGGCTGGGTTGAGTTAGCCCGGTCAAGTTGCAGCCCTAGCACCAATCCCCCATTATTAGCGATGAACACGCATTCATACACATTATTTGAGAATAATTTTGAAATAAATAATGATAAACAATTAGATTCAACTTTTGCAGTTGCCTCATAAAAAGACAGTGGTAGGAACAATATAATTCATTATACATACATACATATATATATATATATATATATATATATATAGATAGACAGTTAGATATTCTAAATTAGTAAAAATTTTGTTAGTATGACATGACCTTTTTTCTAGTTGGTTGTTTGGTATTGGCTTTATGACAGTGAGGTCTATTTTATCCTGAAGTGTAGGGATATCAATTTTTACCGTCCCGCCGGGGCTCTGTCCCGTCCCACCCCGTTAATAACGGATATGGAAATATTTTTTATACTGTTGGGGGCGGGCATTGATACAAATTTTGTATCCGTCGTGGGTCACAAGACGGGTGAGGATTCAGTATACATATCCTAGGAGCCCCGCCCCGCTAAACATATAACTATATATATATATAGTTATATGTAACATATCCTAGGGGCCCCGCCCCGCTAAACATATAACTATATATATATATATATATATATATATTTTAACGGCTTACCCAGTTACTCATCTCTTACAATCCTAATTTGGGATATAAACTTGGTATTAAATTTGTTTTTGTTTTGGTTATGGTAGAAATTGGAGCTTAGAATTTCTTGTAATTTGGTTGTATTAAATTTTTATTTTTGTTTATTATATTATCTGAATTATGTTATGTGCATGTTTTTTTTTTTTTTTTTTTTTTTTTTTGTTGGGATACATAATTTCATTTATGTTGTGTCATTCCCAGACTTTCTACATTTAAATAGCAAGAGCTTAAGTTCCAAAAAATAGGAGAAAAAAATTTGTTAGCGGGGCGGGCACGGAAGCACAGTATTTCCCAATGGGGCGGGACTGGACATGAAAATCTAACCTATCGCGGGTCACGGGGAGGGCATGGACTTGACAAAAATTAAAAGAGGTGGGGCGGGATTTAGGGAAACTCACTTCAAACCCGTCCCATTGCCATCCCTACTGAAGTGAGGTTTTTGTCCAATCCATTTGCCTGAGTAAGGCCCAACAAAGTTGGCCCCATTACTGGTTCTCAGCGAATCACCATGTTTGGTATAACTTTAAGGCCCGTAAGCTTTGCAACACACTAAGTGTAGTTTGGGTTGCTGAGGCCAAACCCAATGTTGGTTTTGTATTGTTGGATATTGAAGGCCCAGAAACTTACAGTTCATGGATTAAGAAACCACAAGTTACAAAGACAAAATAAGTCCGTTTGCACATGTGTTGGCTTAGGGTGGTTTCAGCTGGAATGGCCCAATCTTAGTCTCACCCAAAAAATTTCATTGCGCCCGTTGCACTGTGCAACGAACGCATTCGAACCGTTTGTGTAATACACACTTGTATTACACATGCAGATAATAAATAGTCAATAGTCAGATGTGTCGTTGCACAGTGACAATGGGCACAAAGAAGTTTTTCTAGTCACCCAACAACCACAAGCCAGTACAATTTTGGCTGCAATTCGCTTACTGAACATTTGAGATGTGCATATACATAAATTTGAAATTGAAGGTAATATATGTGGTTAGTAAGATAAAATAATTTCAATAAAAGTGTGTCATCTGATGTCATTACATTACTTACATAGCTTGTGTAACGATTTCGTACTTTACTTATACAATAACGACTTTTTCTTATATGTTGCACTGCAATGCAAAGGACCAAAAGCACATCAAGTTTTTGTCTTTTTTCTTATTCTTTTGTCCTAAATTCCTAATGTATCTACATAACATGTATATACCCAAAATACCATTGCGAGTCTCATCTACGAGAGATTTGGCGGGAAAATCTGTTAAGTGTGTGTTAGAATCAGTTAATTGGTCGCTGCTATGTGGGACCTTCCAACTATACACAAGCAAAGATATCAGGAAACCCAACTCTCTCTTACAACTATATATATATATATATATGTATGTATGTATTTGTTACTTGTTCGTTATCACGGTTAATGTAGTGCATACAAACTCCATTTCTGAGTAAGCCCCTTTCCTCTGAATCTCTGGTTCTACATCAAGAAAGATTGCAAGAAAAGAAAGATCTCTCTCTCTCTCTCTCTCATGGGAAACTCCTCTCTCCACCACCCCCTCTTGATGGCCCTCACCATCATCGTCAACCTTTGCCTCAGCTCAACAGCACAGTTTCCTCCACCTTCTCTGGACACCAAACCACCATCACCACCACCACTTCCCTCTCTACCCGCAACCATGGCATCACCACCACTTCCCGCTCTTCCCACAACCATGGCACCACCATCACAACCAGCTCCCTCTCCACCCATCACCACCATACAACCACCGCCACCAATTCCCTCTATACCCACCACCATCATACAACCACCACCACCAATTCTCTCTATACCCACCACCATCATACAACCACCACCAGCAATTCCCTCTGTACCCACCACCATCATACCACCACTTCCCCCTCTACCCACCATAGCATCACCACCATCTCCTCCGCCTACAATCTCATCAACATCACCAGCCCCTTTGCCCACAACCGCACCCTCTCCTCCGCCTACAATCTCATCAACATCACCAGCCCCTTTGCCCACAACCGCACCAACCTCTCCACCCAACACCACAGCACCACCACCTCCCCCACCCACCACCACATCGCCACCGCCGCCGCCGCCACCGCCACCACCGGAGGTATCAGACCCGCAAGATGATCAATTCAACAACATAATCGACGCTCTAATGGGCGCAGGAGACTTTGGCGCTTGGGCCGGCATCCTCTCCGCCGCCGATCTATCAGGCTTCCCACTCGCGGCCACCCTCTTCATCCCCAGCAACGATGCAATCTCCCACTTCCCCACCGCCACCACCGCCACCCTAAACTTCGACCCATTCATCATCCCTTACCACATTATCCCCCAACGCCTCTCTTTCTCTGACCTCCAACGATTCAAGATCCATACTCGCCTCCCAACTCTATTGCACTCCAAGACTATTCTCATCACCAACAACTCTCCCTTCAACTTCACCATCAACGACTCTCCCATCACCCACCCCGACCTCTACGCCACCACCACCGTCTCCGTCCACGGCATCAAAATCATCCTCGATTACTCCGCCTACGGCGGCGACGGCCTTTTTGTACCGGAAGAGGACCCAAGTATGCCGATGCCCACGCCACCCCAAGCAACGGCGCCGCCATTTTTTCAGGCAGGAGAAATTATGGGTCGCCGGAGATCGGATGCCGCATGCTTATGCTCTGAGTTTCCGATTGTTTTATCGGTTGTTTGTGCGGCCTTGGCGTTCAAGATTCACAGAAACCCTCTGTCTCGTTGATGGGCCTGTTAATGGATTGTTAACAGATGAGTCTCACATCAATCTGTACATGGGTTTTCGCTTGTTGGGTCAGTGTTAATCATCTCTGTTAATTCTTGTTTGCTCACAGAGTCTACCCTCTCTGTTTTTTCATGTTAATTCTTGAGAATTTTGGATTCTTGTTACTTACAATAGATTCAGAAGGCAATGAAAGGGATTGTTTGGTTCATATCATCTGAAAATTTGTGCAATTGTACTGTGGATTTCATGTTCATTTGATATTGATTTGCTTAAAGTTAAGTATTGTCAAGAGCCAATTGATGATGTAGCTTTTTAGGGTTTAATGTTTCCATTTGGTCACAACTGAGCAATGTTGAGCTATAGAATTACAGTATTGGGTTGTTAAGTTTAGCAGGGTAAAAATTAGATTAAGCTCAAGCTGAGGTCAAATTTGCTTCATGCTTAATTAACACATTCAAGTTTAGGTTGCTTAGATTTACTTTGTTAAACTCATGGGCTTTAATTAATCTTTTAAGATAGGCAACAAACACTAGCTCTTGAACTGCAACAGAATCAAGTCAATTTGAATGTCTGGCTTCCTGTGCACAGTTGGCCCAAATTGTTGACTTTTTAAAACTCAATTTAAGCCTTGTGACCGAATTTGACACGGTGGGCAAACACGTATACTCAACTCTCAATTCAACTGGAATTAAAGCTTAAAATAGTAGTCACCAGGCTTAAATTGAGACGGTACTTGGTAAGGGCTGTACAAACTCAACTTGTTTAGTGAAAGAGACTAGAAACACTATTTGAGCTGAACTTGATTGATACCAAACAAGAATGAACATGTTTTGCTATTGAACTAAGGATCAAACTTTGAGTTGACTAGCTCAAGATATTTACTCATTTGCAATTCTATTAATTTTAGCTTGTAGTTTGATGATTCATTTCCATAAGTGAAAAAAGAGGTTATGTTACAATTTGAACTGTATAAAATTTAAGCTTATTTTTTTTTTGGGATAATGATTAGCCTAAAACTCACTTGGATGAAGTGAATAAGGTCAAAGTTTTATCGGAGGGATATAAATCCCTTGGCTAGGCTTCTTACTTAGACTTTAGGTCTCAGTTGCATTAGGCTTCTTAGTTAGAGTTTTAGGTCTCAGTTGCATTGTCCTGGTAATTTTGCTCGACATTATCCGAGTTAAGTAGCATTTCTGAGTTTTGAAACACTAGTTAAGGACTGAAGGGCCTAGAATGAGAAAGTCCAAAGTAGAGAGCCTCAGCATTCACAACTCCTGAATGATATATTGCACCCTTGAAGATAGAACACATAAAACAACCATTCATCACTAATTACTCTTCCAAATATTTCTTAATACAAGGAACTTTAATCCTAGAACTTCTGGGCTGAAAATGGTGGCCACTAAAGAAAATTAAAATGGTTCTTTCTTTTTATAATCCTCAGGAACCATTATGAATTCATTCACTGACTAATATGTCTTAATTGTCAGATGCGCCATCATAAGCAACAGCAGCAAAACTCTTCAAAGGAACACTTGAACCATTAGAGAGTTTTTCAGTTTCATTTCAGGGAAATGTTTTACCCATTATTGGTAGCTGTGGGAACATTCACCATCGAGGTTGGTTCAAAACCTACAGCCACCCTGTTTTAGCGTTTCTGCGTCTGTCCATTAAGCAACTCAACACTTGAATTTGCAGTGCATATGCATATATATATATAGATAGATAGAGATAGAGTTAGAGTGTTGCACTAGCATCTATTGATGAGAAGACTTCAAAACTAAATTGACATGTATTTTGAAACAAAAAGAGCCACCAGGTATTCTAATTTACAAGAAGCCCTCACTGTGACATGTTTCACAAAATGGAAGACCAAAACCTATTTCGCGAGTCTGCACATGCAAATATCGGTGCACAACTCAAATCAGTCTCTCTCTCTCTCTCTCTCTCTCTGTGTGTCTCATGGCGTTTGAAAGAATTGGCCTAATAAATAAGGGAATGAAGTCAGATGCTACCTCGAACAAGAAAGGATGACGAGACCTTATTGTGTTCCTTATCTACATGTTTTCTGGATCTCTTCAGTCAATGTTGTGAGTGCCACTCTCCATTCAGGGCTTCTTGACTCACTGCACAGAATTCTATGCATTATTTTCAGTTCTTCAGGATTTGCCTTCTTCAACAATCCTTGAAGTACAGATTGTAACTCTTTATCAACTGAATTATTGCAGCTACCTATAACTGAATTATCCTCCTCGCGCTTCATTATATTATAACCAAATATTGTTGCATCTGTTTCCCCTCCGGAGCAACTTGTTACCAAAGGGCACCTCTCTTCATTGCAAGCATTGGCAGAAGTCATAGGCACTTCAGGAAATTCATTCAAATTTTCCACCTTCTCTGCCTTGAATATAAGCTTGTGATTCCAGTACTCAGAGCACTGATGATTTGGATCAAGAGCCTCAATAGCCTGATAAATACTCTTGTTAGAATCAGGATATGAAATTCAAGTATCATAACTGGTTTCAGGATTGACATATTCGTGCATTTGTGGTTTGTATGTGGACAAAGGCATTTGCCAGCCCACAAAAGTGTATGACGCATGTTGCCTTGCCTACCCCATTCTCTTTCCATCCCTCGAAGGAAAGAGAGATGAAGAGAGAAGTTACATCTGTTAGTTAAGTTGTTTCGGAATCAAAGGTTCTCCATAATTAGAACATTTAAGGTTGACTCTCAATCCTAACAGATGATAATTTTAGAAACATAAAGAATGTCAATGTAATTTTTTTTCGAAAGGGCTCCTCTTGTCATGCTGTGAGGTATTCTTCTGGGTAAAAACTACGTTCAAACACTAAGCATGTGTACAGCACATTCACGTTGATAGGAGATGGTATTATTTGAATCAACACACACAACCTTGCTTGAAACACCACTAAAGAAATCAACAAGACTTTTTAGATCTATGTTGTTAAGACTTCAATGATATTATCAGGTGCAAAATGGGTGATTGATCATATTAAATGTTTGAATAATGGGAAGCCACGAGGACAATTGGTATTTGAGAATTATTAGAATTGAGAAGTAGAAGGTGAAAATAGTAAACAGAGAAAGGTTTGTAAAGTATTGATGTTGAATCATTATTTCAAAAAGTTGCATAACCTATACAAAAGTTGGGAATTATTTACAACTTAATATTAGTTTCATTTGTTTGCTTCCTAAGGTAAGATGGTTATGTTAATTTGTCCTGCGTCACCAACCCCCCTTCCCCCCAATTATAAAGTGCATAATTTTTTGGTAAATTTGAAGGAACATTCTCATAGTCTATGGAATAGATTTCACTGATTAAGCCATTGATGAGTTTAATTAAAACGAATGAAAGCAGTTCACCTGAACAATAGGTGGGGAGAGAAATCCAAACATTTTAAGCCCATTAATGCTCCATAAAGGATGCAAAGGGGGCAGTCCTTGTATCCCTGAGCTGGTCTGCCTTCTGATTTGTTGACTTAGACTTTGCAGCACCATTTCCCAACACTTCTCTGCCGAGACATTTGCAAAGTTCTCGCTTGGACATTCCTCCAAAGTAACCTGAAATTAACATAAAAAGTTGAGGGAAGAGACGAGGCATTGAGGAGTGAAGGAAAAAAGCCGACAATAAATGCTCACACTTTTTTTGGGTTCCCAAATGCTTTATTGTTAAAAAAAAATGTTTGCAATATTTCCCACGTATTTTATTACTGCGTAGTTTCACTGAAAATGAGAACGGTGTTAATTGTAACAACCATGTTTCTGATTTGTTGACAGCACTAAGCTTGGAAAGTAAAGGAGTTCGTGTTTCTCATTATTTCCAACAGTTAAAACAAAAAAACTGATTATTGTAGATTAATTAATTGTAAGGGCCACGGCGGAGAACACATTCCATGGAAAGATGACTTCAGCAATTACAAATTTACAACACGCGATTCTGTGCATAATACAAAAGGATTTATCATAATATAACAGGTACAACATCAAGCACCCTTACAGTTATAAAGAAAGACATAAAAATAATAATGATTCCTGATTTCTTCACTAATTTATTATACAACAGAGGAATGCAACCGGTGCATCTGCACATATTAACCCCACCACCATACTTTTAACCTTTATTAATGGTTAAGAAAATATTTGCAGTAAGATCTAAATGTAGTTATGAATTGCTAAAAAAAGAAAAGAAAAGAAAAGAAAAGAAAAAGGTAAAATCTTACCTTAAATAAAGGACCAAGGAGCCCAGCATCCAAAATTTCTGATATATAGCTACTCATTTTCCTTGGATTGAGCACACTATAGAACTTAACACGGCTTTTGAATCCTGTCACATGAGCCAAAATTTCAAATCGTATTAATGAGTTAATTTATACATATAACTGAATATCTAAACTGGAATTTTTTCTTTTCTTTCCTTTTTTTTTTTTTCAGAACCATGTAAATGTCCAACAACCGTACCTTTTGTGAATATTGCCTGCTTATTGCACCACAGCTTTCCACAAACTACAGATCCATAATTAATAGGATCAATGCAGAAGCTCGACTTTTGTATATGACTAATTTGGCCAGTTAGAGATACATTTACATCTGAATGGTCCATGTTTTCAGTTTTGGACAAGTTGCTCAGTGGAACACTAAGATCAACCCCAAACAACTTATTACCATCAGATGCACAACAATTCGCAACATCCCTTGAACACGAAGGGTGGTCTCTGTTTGAAAGACCATGCGAAACTGAGGAATCACAATCACTACTAGGTCGTATGATATCTTGTTCTCTTCGTGCATCTGGACTATAATTTTTTTCTTGCTTGCACATAGGCATACAGGTTTCATGCATGTTCAAAATGACCTTGTTATCACAACTATCAGATATTTGTTGCAACCCACTTCCTTGTTCATCAGATATGCTCTCAAGATTTAAATCAATACAGCATTCCAGCCCTACCTTACCTTCATCAGTTATGACCAGAGCTTCCTCTTTATGCTCAGCTATCATGCTGGCTGATGCACATAAATTAAAAGTTTCTCTCTGCAGATCCAACTGGACTACTTCTGAAGAACCACAATCATGCAAAGAACTGCAAGACTCGTTAATATTAAAACTTCCATCTGTTATTGGAGGACATGATGGGCTTTTCTTTTCCTTGGGACAGTCAAATCCGGTTATCTCTCTCTCCTGACCCAGCTCAACAAAATCACTATCTTTGCTATTTATAGAAGCCAATCCCAGGTCTTCTGACACCCATGCTTTTACCGCATTCAAATTCCCTTCCAATGCTTCAATCAACGTGTTTAGTTCATCCATGGTGTAGCGGACAAGCACAAACCTATTGTCTGGTGCACACGAACAAATAAGATGTGCATGTTTAAGACATGCAAATCGGTTCAAGGAGCACTTACAACAGGCAGCAGAAAAGTGCAAGTCATAAAAGCATAAAAAACATTCTCTCTCAGTTTTCACATCGAAGTCCTTCTCCATCTTCTGAAACTGCAAAAGAGTTGGAAGATTCCCCATCCTTTGCTGTTCTATCTGAACCCTTGTCTGAAAAAAAGTGAATTTCATATTAGAAATTACCTTACCATGAAAATCAGATGAGTGAATAAGGAACTTTCGACCACAAAAGCATGCATATTCCGCAGGTACATAAGATATATGAACGTATTTATGAGTGTATATAGCAATATAAATACATGAACATATAGATACAAGGATAGATATGAGTATTGTGTGTATATACGCATAAATTTACCTTAATTGCCTTAGTAAGCATCCCATCCTTCCCACAGAAACTTTCCCAACTCAAATTTCCCATTTTTTCCCTCTTGAGAATCGACAGCTCCCAGAGGGCACGAATGGCTTCTCTAGCTGATCCTAGAAGCAATTTATCATGGGACAATGACGTCTTGCGACGTTGCTCACTATAGAGCTCTACTGCACTTTGCCCATGCTTTAACCAATCAACTGGAGCCACATTCACAGCCTCTGCACAATTGAAACCACAATTGAAGCCAGAATGGTACGCCCTTGGGAAGGTAAGGACAAATTCCCCAGAGTGCTGGATAGCTCGATACACTGGTACACCCTCAGATTTTAGAACTGAAGGAGATAGCTGAGTGACCTGCCACAACACAAAAATCATAACTTAAAGCATGAAATACTCATTTAACATAGTGATGAATGAGATAACAATAAAAAAGCAGAAGCACAGTTTGGACATAAATGCGATGAAGATAAGTGAAATTTGAATGAGGTGACAACTAATGCGAGTTCAGTGAACTTAAATGGACAAAGCGCGAAAGAACGAGCCTATAAAATGACTGATAAGACAATTGTTAAAATGATATATCTCAAAATGTGTCACGCAACAATTTGGACACTTTCACACACAAACAAACAGAATACCGCAACTCACTGAGTGGACTTCAGTTCACAATTAAAGACACAAGACTTCATAGGCATAACCAAGGGTAGTATATGCAACCTATCCAGGCCTAATCAAAGTAGAGAAACACAATTTTCTTACCAATTGATGTAGTAAATCTGGTTGTTCTTCAAATAAATCTGGCAAATGCTTTCTCATTGCATTCTCCAAAGTAGAAGCATTGCATCCAGGAACTCCATACCATATTTTTGAATCACCCCAGTGTAGATAGTTCAGTGAATAAAGATGGTGGTCCTCAACATGCTTTACACAAAACAAGCAAAAAATCAGTCAGACATCAGCTCAAAACAAAAACTGAATAGTTTTTCAGCTTCAAAGGGAAGAAAAGGGGAAAAAAAGTATTAGTCAATTCTTTTTGGTTTTGAATAAAATAATAATAAAAGGTTCCTGAGTCCATTCTGAATGAGTCATTGGGACATACATAATTGGCACATGGTTAGTGAGAAAATATACTTGTGCAACTTGCAAATATTTAGCAAACTACTCCCACTGTCCCTTTCCATTTTAAGTTTCCTTTTTGGGAACCTAACTTTTAAGGTGGGGATTTTAATATTTTTTATTGTATGTAATGAATAAATTACCAAATCTACCCATTGTGGGTCCACAGTGATGTGATAATGTTTTGCATTTAATTGTTTTTATAAGTTCAATGCAAGAAGGGCAAATTGGGAATGTTGTAAAATATAATACATTGACTTTTGAATTGGAACAATTATTTTGGGACAGCTAAATATGGAAAGGTGGACACCTATTTTGGGATGGAGGGAGTAAATCACTAGAAATTTGACCATTTAAATTCTAAACAATTATTTACAATAAATTATGAACTTTATTATCACAATGAATAAAAAAACATTTACTGTCACAAGGATTTTAAAATTACCTCTTCGTGATAATTTAAGTGGTCTTTCATAAAAAACCATAAAATGACCTATTTAAGCAGCACTCAGATTCTAGGAAACTCAACATATAATTCTTCTCATTCAAATGAGGAGTTATTGCGAAAATTTGCTAGTTTCTTTTCATTTTCTGTTGTTACGAGGTTCTTTTCCATATTTACTAAGCAAATAATTTTATTTAAAAAAAAAAAAAAAAAAACACCAGTGAGGATACAATAATAGTGATTGAATTTTAATATACATGCTCAGCCCCATATATATTTACTCACATGTCTTCTTGTGTGCTTGATGCTTGAGGTGATAGGACAGTGAAAAGCAGACCTTAAGAAAAACTTAAGGTCAGCAATGGAGTGAAATCAAAGGTATGCTTTGACCCATGTGCCTTAAATGTCAAATGGCTACATGATGCTTTGCATTTAAAAAAAAAAGATCATAGCAATTACAACGACTTACCCAACAAAACGTTGAGAAGCACATCCCAACATAAAGCCATGGTACTAGAACTCCTGAGATATCGCATCCTTCAAAACATAGTACAGAACCAGGCAGGCGTGGAAAGTTATTTAAATTCCAACCAGAAATCACGTATTGACCTGAATTACTTTTTTCGGTCAGCAAAGATGATGCTTTCGGGAAACCACTACCAAATACTCCAGTTTCCAAATCAGCTCCATAGTATACCTGCAATATTACAGAATAAAGGTCATCTACCATTCATAAATAAACAAACATATAGGGATACATAAGATGTAATATGCTATCAGAATACCATATTTACATACCTCAACCTCATCTGTTGGCTGCTCAATGATCCGCCAGTACTCGCCTTCAATATCTTCAACTTTGGGTTCCCATCTCTTGTGTTCAACACCATCAGTGTTCGAGTCATCTTCCATGTCCTTTGTCCCAAAATAACACTCCTTGAAATAATTGGAAAATTCTTGAAATTCTTTAAGTGTAAAGTCTGACCCTGACTGGAATCCAAACTTCTCATCAGTGTCAGAAATATTGATTCCTTCGGAACCTTCAGGACTTGAACGTCTCCTGCTAGTTCCCATCCTTGAATGACTCCTTCGTTTTCGCTTCCGCCCTCTGTTTTTCTTTCTCATAGGTTCCCTATTTTGAAGCAAGTCAACCTGCTGAACTCTCGTCGAAAATTTAGCATGTTCCCAAATGCTTTCATCTTTAAGTGGGCAGGGCGGAGTCCAGGAAGGAGGGGGAACTATCCTGCATATTCCATATGATTCTGCTTTTGGGCGTATCTTTGCTATGTAACCAAGTGTATCTTGGAATTCCTGATGAAGCAAGCAATTATAAAAAACAAACAACAAATTAGTTATTAGTTTATGAGTTAATAGATAACTAATTAGAGTTGTAGCATCAAATGACTGGACAATATCTAATCTCCATCTTTATACAAAAGTACCTCATCGGTTGGATAAAATACAGGAGCTTCATCAATGATTGGCCTGCATGCTTCATCAGAATTCCATCTAGCTAATATCTGCTTTATCAAACAAACAACGATTTTTATTTTGATAAGCATCACAAGAATGGAGAAAATTTGTTAAGTATGCTTTTGACCCAGAAAATGCGAAAGTTAACTCAGGCATGGCCCTTGCAGAAATAAAATGATAAATATCCCAAGAAGCCACGAAATAAAGCCAATGCACTCTTCAAAGGAACTTAGAGGAAAAAGTGAACTAAGTCTGTTTTCATCCAAAATAATTATCAAATATTTGTTGAAACATTCAGAGAAAATACAATATATATACATATATAGATATAAATAGAAAAGCTATACACGACAAGAAAATCCAGCAGTTAGCCGTAGGCGTCCGTGAGGCCTGGGGTCTGCTTCCTGACACGCCTGCAGCTGTTGTAGACTGAATTGATTTAACAACTAAACTAAAACAATTTAATTTAGTACCTTTCGACTTCGAGGGCTGCCTGAACAGCCGAAACTATTGTCAGTTTTCTGCGTGTTCCTGGAAGAATCATCCTGCAAAAGAATTTTTTTGTAAGAATCTTATGTGTATCAAGTACAAAGTCTTCATCTTACCTAGGTACATAACAATGACACATCATAACTATAGGTGGCAAGGTTATTAGAATCGGGGATTCAGTGTTGGGTCAGTTTAGGGTCCAATTGAATCGAGAATCGTAAGGATATACTAAATGAGAAAGATAATACCTTATATATTTGTGCATTAAATATATCTTAGAGTATACACGAGAAAAAACCTATAACTTACAGAAGATTTAGGGCAAGAATTTGGAATGCATAGAAAAATAACAAACCAAAAGAAAAAAATGATGAAAAAACAAAAAACGAAAGGAAACAATGTCAAATTCATACTATTCAGAAATATGGGGAATTGGTTTGCCTAAATCAGTTGTTTAAATAGATAATTAATTTAAAGCCTAGTAAGAGAATCGATTTGAAGTCAAAATGAGAAGAAAATCTTAACATAATTATCTTATTTAGGACATTGAAGTTGGTCTTGATCTTCCTTTATGATATTATTTGGATCTTGGGTCCTAACTTATCAAAAAGGAACAAAGGAGTAACATTCTATTACTATACAATCGGGAGTCAAATCGGGATCCCCCAATTCCTATGATCTTATAGGGATTCCACAAAGATTCTACCTTCCAGGGATTTTTACGGGATCAAGATCGATTCAGTACTTTTGGATAGAAAATTTATAGAATCGCACGATCCGGATAATGACAGGTAAAGCAAGGCAAATTGATAAATAGAAATATATTATAGAGAATCACTGGTACACATTTTGCATATTTCCCTTGAGTAAATAGAATGTTTAATTACAGCTAAATTTACTGATTCATAAATGTATTGAGTTGTGAGAAGCACTAATGCTTTTTAAACGTACAAAAAATATTTTAACATTTTGTAATAAGGTAAAAACTTTTTTTTTTTTTTGGTAAGTTGTAATAAGGTAAGAACTTATAATGAAAATTATATTTTTATCTTTCTGATGTTAAGAGTAGATAGATACATATCCAATGTCTTATATTAGCACATATGTTTCCATAAATGCAGACTTTGACAAATAAAATTTATTAGAAATATGTAAGCATAGTTTATCTTTTACAAAGGGAAAACCCTCAAATAATAGTATAGTTAATTATTTGTTCTAATAGTTTAGAACTACCAATCTATTTATAACAAATAGATTAAACCATTAAAAAAAAAAAGTTACATTCTCAAGTTTGAATAATCAATTGCAAAGTACTAATATTAAAATATACTTAAGTTATGCAAATGGTAATTATTTGTGTGTTTATTTATTGATTTTGATAAGTAAGACACATGCTCGTGTCCCAAGGGATACTTGAATTGTGTATTCCCCCTTCGCAGGTGACAAGGGATACTGCTCAGTCTAACCACTAATGGTAATTAAATTCTTTACCTAATAATAATTAGTTGTTTTGGAGTAAAATTAGTTAGAGCAAGAGACGAGAGAGTTTTAGTCACTTCAAGTGTGATATAATGCTATAAACATGACTATCTTATTTTGAGGGATGATAGAGTTTGAAATGATTATATGAGAGCACCAATACCTACTAGCATAAAATTCTGCTATATGCATGAAATAATGACAATTTTTGTACTATATACTTTCTTTATCTCTAGGGCATCAAAATGAGTAGTAAATGATATAAGATAACTGAGAAGACTTGGGTGTGAGAGATCGACAATTTGAAATAAAAATTTTGTACATAAAACATTGGTTAAGGCTCCATTATTTCGATGTAAACTAAGCCTTTGCTTCTGTATCTATATAGGTTCATGAAGCTTACTTTCCACTGTTTCATGGATTATATTTTAAGGAAGTTTCTCGGAGAGAAAAATTAATAATTAGCACAAAGAGAATTTTGTAGATCAGATTCAGGAAGATGATAAATTTCCCGAAGCTCATCGCAAGATTCACGCAACTTATGGAACTATAGAAAAAGAACATTTCAGAACCCTATTAGTTAGAAGCAGGCCAAGACTATAGTAAAATGATCTTGTTTCTTGGGTTAGCATGGGGAACAAATAATAGTGCTTCACACTTTGCAGAGAAAAAATTTCCTTGGAAACATTTTGGATTGAAGCAGATGAAGCCAATGAGAAGGTAATCTCTTCAAAACAAGATAGTTATGATGATACAAGAATAAGTTTGGGAAATGGCAGTGGTGAATCCACATTGGACAAATGAAGGCAGAATGTAACCAATTTGAAAATCATGCAAGAAAGAAGTAAACCTTCATGATTTTTTCACAATAAGATTCTGCTTTGGAGCTTTTATCAAGTAAGTGATAATCAATACGATTTCCACGCCTGAGGGATCGCTTAACCTTCACTTCCTTGTAATTGTCAAATACAGCATCTGGTTGCAGTGACTCTGAATCAGTGGTTGTTTCCATGACATAACTGCTTGAAACTACTGAATCGGCATTTCATCCCTCCTAAATTCAACAAGCTTATCAAGTAGAGAATCTCCAAAATTTGAGATTACTAGATACCCTTCAGTGAAGCAATTCGGAGTGTCTTCTACCACCAAATTATTCAACTGCAAGCACACACAAATGAGATAAATGAATCAAGATAAACTATGAACAGAAAGTTGTGAACATCCTAGAAGTGAAACATTTATAGACTAAACCAATAATATTATAACAGAGAATTACGTGCGGAAATTGTTAAAGATGATAACAAGAACCAACATCCACAAAGAGACTGAAGGATGAACTATTAAAAGATTTTAACAATTTCAATGGAAACGAAATTGCATACGAAGTCAAAGTGGTCCTTCCCACAGCAGCAATATTTGGACAGAACACAAGGCCACAAATTTCCATAGTTCGCGTGTCCTTCTGGAAGATTACAGTTATTATTCCAGCTATATGACCAAGACTAGAAAGAAAATAAACAGTGGTCATATGTGCAATATATCGCAACATAGCCTTCTTTGGTAAGTCCATTATCACTCTTTAATCAGAAAATAACTCTTCAATACTAATGGTTCCCTATCAAGTATCAAAGAAGAAGGTTGAGGTATTCTCATGATCTATAACAGCATGAAAGCATCTCATGACTAGTATCCAAAGAGCCGGAGACAAGAGTAATAGACATTCACCCCACCTCCTTCCTATTCCTGATTTCATCACCATTCATGTAGTTTGAGAAATAAATATACTGGAAAAGGCAGTTCAATTCCCAATTATCCCTGAAATGGTATTATTTAATGTTATGATTATATGCTACCGTAGTATACTTGACAAAATTACGCTCACTTTACATGTTACACGTTCTGATCTTAGGTTAGGTACACCTATTTTACAGACTCTTCAAAAGTAGGTGAAGTACCCATGTCAGACCCACAATGCTCGGACACAGTATAGGATATGTGTCCGACACTTTTGGTTTGACATGCACCTAAAAAATCATATCTAATTATTTAACTATTCAAGTTTATCAGATTATTGCTTCAAAATGAATGAAATGCTTGTATTGAACACTATGTCACATAAAGACATTATTTTACAAAATAAAAATATTAAATATTATGATCCTTTAGCAGTGTCCCAATGCCCTTCTTTTTCGGGATTTGACAGGGTCCTACGCTTGAATATATACCTGCACCTAACATGCGTTTCCAAGTTCATGTAACATAGAGGTATACAATACAAATCAAGAGCTCAAGAATGATTCACCAGCATGGCCTATATCACCATAGAGAATGTAAGATTACTGAAAAGCTGCAACTTATATGTCATCTGCTTTCCTCAATTAACATCCAAAAATCTAAGTGTCTACATATGAGCAATAAAGGACATCAGCCCCTCCAACAAATGCCGGGTGATTGCGACCATATAATTTATGAAATTTTCACAAAGCAATGGATGACTAAATATAAATATTGCTTTGACACTGAACATAAATTATTTACAATCTTATCACCACAAAAAACTGATCTATTAGGAACTATATATTGCATTACAGCCCAAATCATCACAGTTAGACAAAACAATGATCAGATATGAAGATCACATTCAATCATTCCAAAAGGAGAAATTAGTTAATTATTATGCATAAATTAAAGTTCCTAAAAATGTTAGGATCAACAAAACAAATATATTTATATGCAAACAGAAGCAAATATAAGAAATCTAACCTCTTTGATTTGGAGAAACTGTTGCCAATTGGGATTTGTTCTATTGTCTGAAAAATATATATGAAACCTAACCTACCCAATTCAATACAGAACCTAATTCACCAGACTCAAAATTTAGATAAACAAAATTGTAGCTGCAAGATTATACCTAATCTGGTCTCACAAGAAACCCAAACTCTCCCAAAAAGATTCAACCTTTTTTCATTTTAAAACTCATAAAAACAAATTTAACCCACAAAATATTAAAAATCCCACCAAGAAAAAACAAATGAAAACTCAATTGCATGAATCAATCCAAACCCTTTTTATCATGCACACTTTTCTCATTCACACATGAATGTCTTTATCAAGAAAAATAACGGGTAATGTCAAATTCAAGAAAAAGGTAAAATTGACCAAGTAAATACATAAATGAAAAAAGAAATTGATAGCTGAATGTTAATGATGATGAACAGAAAAAAAAAAAAAAAAAAAAACTTGAATGACAAGTACGACGAAAAGTACTAGAAATTACCTCAGAAACAGCCTAAAATTCCACGTCGAAGTGGGGGTTGCTTTTTCTTAATTTATTTGCATTTAAATAATGTTGCAATGAAATAATAAAAAATCAAATCTATATTCTATAAGTAAACAGTAATAGGGTGGGATAAGGACTCCTAAAACGAGGAAGTTGGATCTAGAGAGAGAAAGGAGGGGAAGAAGAGTTAGAGAGAGAGAGAGAGGGTCAACCAGAAACTGAAGGAAGATAGGACCAGCCCCACGAACGGCAAGCACACAGTTTTTAACCGAAACTGGTGAAATCAACCAACCGTAGTTGAGAGAAAGTTCTGATTTTCTGAACCCATGGGCCATGACGCATGTCCAATGTGGACCCCACTATTTTCCCATATACGTATGTAAAATATTGTGTTTGGGCATAATTGTCCTTTCCTTTTCCCGTTATTACTTTCATACCTGTGGCCCTGTTTGGGAAATGGGAAATAAAAGGAAAGCCAACTAGTACAATTTGTGGTAAATCTTTATTTCCTTTTTGTTTGCGGATAATATTGACACAATCCTCTCCACTATTCTATGTTTCTTGTTGGTACATCTGGCATTGTTATAGTAATCTTTTTTCGCGAGAAATGATTACATGGCCTCCACATTATTACTATTTGTCATTTTAAAAAAAAAAAATTTATAAAGTTATACATATCTCTCAATAACAACAAATCACGTAACTTTTACAAACTTACTTAATATATGTTGATTCTTTAATAGAATGAGAAAGAGGGATGAGAAAGGAAATATATTGATTTGACAATGTAAAATGGTTGTGTAAAATACACAATTTTTTTACATATTGGTGATATGACAATGTATTCGAAGGTGGCAGTGTATATTTTACACAAAGGATATTTTAACAGACCACTGGAGATGCTCTTAGAGTACTTCCAGTCGTCTGTTAAAATACTTTTTTGTGTAAAATATACACTACCACATATAATGTATAATTCTATTTTTTATTTTTTATTTATCTCCCGTTATTAAGACACACGGCCACGTCACCAATGTTTAAATTGTTATGTATTTTACACAGCCATACAACCTATTTCTCATTCCATTAATGAATTAACCCTATATTAAGTGGTTTGTAAAAATTATGTGAGTCAAGCATGATACTGGTTGATTGTTATTAGAGGATATATTTTTACACAAAAAGTATACAACAATCGCTGGACCTAAAAATAAATAATCTAAATTTTTTGTGTAAATCTATTATGACACATCAAATTTATACAAAAAAATTATACACAACGATTGAAAATGCTCTTTTATATATATATATATATATATATATATTATATTTTGTTTATTGTATTAATTAACAAATAAATACAATTGCTCTACTGTTTGTCAATCCAAGTTTCTTTTAACCAAAACTTTTATATTAGAGAATAATTTTTAAATAAAAGTTATTAGTATATTATTACTTGATTAATATGAGAAGGTCTAATTAAACCATTTCACTTTAGGCCTCAAATTGCATCAAGTCCAATATTGCTCATTTTGCCCTAAAATTGATGTGAAATAATGAGTATATTTGTGCATTAAATATATCTTAGAGTATACACGAGAAAAAACCTATAACTTATGAAAAAATACAGAAGATTTAGGGCAAGAATTTGGAATGCATAGAAAAATAACAAACCAAAAGAAAAAAATGATGAAAAAACAAAAAACGAAAGGAAACAATGTCAAATTCATGGTCTCTCTCCACCAGAAATTATTACATGGTCTCCACCACAAATACTATTTGTCATTTAAAAAAAAAAAAAAAAAACTTAACAAAGTTATACATGTTTTTTCATCAAGTGTTTAATATTGATTGGATCAATGATTCTAGAACTATTTAATAATTTTTTTTCATTTTAAATAGTAGTGCATTTAAGAGGGTGACATGAATTATATTACAAGCCCCACACAATCATAATAAGGTAATTAAGACGACATCCCTAAATCTTTCGTTGAGCACCATACAAGTGTTAATCATATCAACTAGGAAACAAAAAAGTGTTCGTTATATTACTTAGAGTATTTTCAGTCGTCTCTTAAAATATTTTTTTTGCCTATTTCTCATTCCATTAACGAATTAATCCTATATTAAGTGGTTTGTAAAAATTATGTGGGTCAAGCAAGATATTGATTTATTGTTATTAGAGGATATATTTTTATACAAAAAGTATACAACAATCGCTGGACCTAAAAATAAATAATCTAAATTTTTTGTGTAAATCCATTATGACACATCAAATTTATACACAAAAAATATACACAACGATTGAAAATGCTCTTTTATATATATATATACACACACATTAATGTATTAATTATATTTTGTTTATTGTATTAATTAACAAATAAATACAATTGCTCTACTGTTTGTCAATCCAAGTTTCTTTTAACCAAAACTTTTATATTAGAGAATAATTTTTAAATAAAAGTTATTAGTATATTACTACTTGATTAATATGAGAAGGTCTAATTCAACCATTTCACTTTAGGCCTCAAATTGCATCAAGTCCGATATTGCTCATTTTGTCCTAAAATTGAAGTTAGCAATATTGCTTTTGGAATATCATAAAATAAATGTTACATTTTGAATGGTAGTGTAGAACTATAGAAGGATGTACAAATTATTTTCCATTTTGAACACACTTGGCTTAACCATAAGGCAATTAATGTGGTTGCCTGAGGCCCCCAATGGAAGAAGAGCCACAAATAAGTGATTTCATTTTATTACTTATATATTTATTTTAATGTATTAGTTATGTTTCGTTTACTATATTAATTATCAAATTAATAAAATTACTCTTCTATTGATCATTACAATTTTCTTTTAACAGAATTTTTTTTATCTTAAAGAATAATATTTAAATAAAATTTATTAGTAAAATATTAATATAATTTTGTGAGAAGGCCTAATTTAATGATTTCGCTTTTAGATATCAAACTGCATCAAATAGGGCTTCTATTTTGAAAACTTTTTGATTATTAAAAAAGTAAAGCGTTTATGTTTAATTTGAAGGTCAATTTTTGAAATTTGACATGTATTACACTATTATTACCTTACATGCATGGCATTTAATAAAGTTGGAATATTTAGAAGGGATATTTATTATTTATAGAGATAGGAACGAGAGATTACATGCATCTCTTGATGTTTAATTTGTTGCAAAGGATTTGGAAAGGACCTTTTGTTGCAAAGGAGGCGGCAAAACCTTCTATTTTTGTTATAAAGGATAAAGGAGACTTTTTAAAGATTTTTAAGACTTTACCCTTATTATTAATAATAATAATAATAATTGAAATAGTTAGGTTACATAATGGGCCAGGCTGGTTGAACCTGTAAGCGGATCAGGCGGTTTTGCTTAGGGCCCATGTGATAAAAATATCATTCAATGACGTTGCCTAAAAAAAATACAACAGTTGTTAAATTATTTGGAAAAGATCTCACTAGAGATATTTTTCTTTATTCTTTTTTTTGTTCAGTGGGTCCATTTGGGATTTCCTTTCTTATTCAAAAGCCTCTTGTCAATTCTGTGAAGAATGGCCCAATTAGATTTTTTTTTTTTTTTTTTTCTTTACATTTATTATTATTATTAATATATTTAAAGAAATGATATTCCCACTCCAATTTTGTACTATCATATTTCACTTGCTTTTATAAAAAAAATAAAATAACATAATTATCCTTTAAAAGACTCACATTCCACAATAACAATAACAATAATAATAAAAATAAAGCCCATACGCTATTTTAAGGGATAATTATGTCCTTTGCTTATCAGAAGATTGTAACGTAAAGAGTACAAAATACACACACACAAAGTACACACAATACATAGGAAGTGATATGTGAGGTTGGATCCAGTACATCAAGGGACTACACAATGGTTGGTGGAGTTTTGGTTATGAAGTTTGATAATGGACATCATACTGATGATCATCAAAAGTAGGAGACCAATGAAGGAAGCTATAAGGGCCCCACTACCATGGTTGCAAAAGGTATCAAACTTATCACATATCTTGTTCCATCTTGCATGTGAATTACCATTTCTCCCCACCTCACCCATGAATGCTGCTGCACTTGCCCCACCCGATACTAAACCCACTATCATCTAAACAAAATAAAATTGAAATTCAGTCATTAATACCATCATCATTCATCACTAATCAAACTTTAACTAATATTGCCAAAATAAAAAAAAAAAAATAAATGTAAGCTAATATTTATGAAGTACAATATGTGCACCGAAATGCATGGTCTGAATTAAAAAAAAAAATTTACTTTTATTATGTTTAGGAGTAAAATTTTAACTAAATTTGTTCAATTCCAAATCCAAACTGACATATTCTGGTGGGTGAAATAAGAATTTATTAAAATGAGCTAGATCATCGTAAGATTAACGTATTTATATAATATATTAAATATATGATTACCATGTCTAAAATGATGATTGTCACAAAGCGGAGTCCCTTGAAATCAAGCTTGTGTCCAATGAAATGCACCACTAGCATCATCAAATTATGGAGACTGGCCAAGCCATTCGCTATCACAAAGAACCTGCATGTATGTTTAATCACTTCCTAAGTAGATAAATTTTACACACACAAACAAATACTTAACCTTAGCATGCATGACTGTTATCATGCTCATAAATGAATTTCCTCCAATAGTTTTTTCTCTCGAAGCATATTCAAGTCGTTATCTAACGATTACAAACATGTCACACAATTACTTGTGTAACTAGAGACGGACCTAGAAAATTTTGTGAGGTGGCGGCTTTTTAATTTGTAAGTACAAAATTATATAATGGGTCTATTTTTGTAATTTCAATAGGTCTCTTCATAAATTTTAAAAAATTCAAAAGTATAAAATGCGAATAAAAAAAATAATAAGTGGGGGCAAATTATAATTCTAGGGGGGCATCTTCATAAATTATCAAAAATTTGGAGTATAAAATGCAAAAAAAAGAATCCAGTGGGGTAAATTGTAATTTTAGTGGGGGTATCTTCATAAATTCTAAAAAAAATAAGGTAAAAAATAAAAATATTAAAAATCCAGTGGGTAACCATCTACTATGTTATATTTGTTACATACAGAACTAATATGCCTAACAGAAGTGATAACGTGGCATATTCATAGCTATGAAAAATGGCTTGGAGGAGTGAGAATTCGGTAACAGGAAGATTTGGGAAAAATATCATCTACATATATAAGTGACAACCGGGAAAGAAATGTAAATATACGAAGGCTTACACAAAAGCTGGGGTGTGTTGAAATTTGGCTGTGAGAGTGGCTTTTATTGGTGTGCTTCCAACGGTGGCAACCACCAGGGTTTTGGTTTCTTTGTTAAGTGCCATTACCACTGTCGCCGACACCGTGGCCGAAAATGCCACCAGCCTCAGAAATGTAATGGTCCAATCCTTTGGCTTTGTAGGCACTCGGTTGCACCCAACTTCTGATTTTTCTCCACCTTCTGAAGCCATGGAGAGAGAGAGAGAGCGAGAGGTATTTGCAGAGATGGTGGTGTCGAAACTCGAAAGCTGGTAATTATAGAGAGAGAGAAAGAGAGAGAGAAATGGATCACCTATAAATTTTGTTAAGTCTAACAAGATTAGTGTAGTGTATTTGTAGTTTCTAAGGGGCATCTAACCAACCTTTTACCTTCACGGCATAGCGTTGATTGTTGGGAAATTTGAAGCCCCATCGTAGAGTATAAATCACGGCAAGTAACTTGGCATGTTGCAACTTCCCAGAGTCACTCAATTCACCCGTCTTCTGTTGGCAAACACTTGAACAAGAAACATTCCAGCATTACAATGACAAAATTTTACCTGATAAAAAAAAAAAAAAAACTCCCTCCTCCTTTCTGGGGGTTTATTCATTCATATTGAACAATTTATAGGCCCTGAAGTGGCAATCATAATATCACACACCATAAAAAAATCGAAATATATTTTTAACGAAAAAATGGTATCTTTATCAATTATTCTGTACTTCTCAAGAATGTTATGACCATCTTTCCTCAGCTAGACATGAATACACACGATGCTGTTGTCCTCTCACCATCCTTTCGGTGTAAATCAAATAAAGCTAAATTTCCTCAAAACCACGTATCTCTCCGGTTCTAATTTATACAACCTCCATTTCCATCTTCACAACTAATGAGAACAGCCATTGAACTGCTACACACTAAATAATCCTTCACCAAGTAAATCATTGAGTTCAAGGTTCACTTTTTCTGTGTGGTGACGCCAACAACAACATTGCTCACCTACAAAGTTCAAAAATATATGAGCATTGTGTCTTTTTGCACCAAAAAAAGAAAAGAATTGACAACAATTGGTACAAATGAAGCTTACCAATTTGCCACTTTCATCAAGAGACATAGGATTCTCAACGACAACAGTTAGGCTCTGGGAATGGGGCATTGCCTACAGCAGTAAAACAGTGCTACAAAAGATTAAATTGCAGATCAACTATGTCATAAGATTCACAACTGCATTGATGCAGACGTTGATGATTAAAAAGATTAAAAATAAAAAACTCACTGTTGAAGTAGAGGGCATTGATGCAGATGTGGCTGTCCCATTAGGTCTGTGGATAAGGATGGGGGGCCTCAAATTACCCATCTGCTAGTAAAAGTATATAAGAAAGAATTAGAACAAACATAATTTTGAAGCTCCTATCATATATTAAAAAGGGGAACTGATACTATCAATCTAGTGTTGCTAACTTGAACAAGCCGCAAACTAGTTAGGGGTGGCAATATTTGACATGACACGCTAAAATGACACGAGATAAGTGGGTTTTAGTTTGACTTAATTGAGTTTGAGTTATAATCTTGTTGACCCGAATTGACACGGTAATTAAACGTGTCGTGTTCGTGTTTGACCCACAAACCTGCTTATAACCCGTTTAACAAAATGTGTCAAATAAGCGTGTTGTGTTCATGTAAAAAATGACCCATTTAGCTAAACGTGTTGTGTTCGTGTCAAAAATGACTTAAACATGTCTTGTCATATCAAATCTTGACCCATTTAATAAACGATTTACGCATGTCGTGTCATGTTACCCATGTAATAATTGTGTCGTGTTCTTGACACAATATCGTGTCATGTTCGCGTTGACCCATTTAACAGGATACCACCTGTCAACACAAATTGTCACCCCTAAAACTAGCCCAAAATGATTCAAAACAATTACTAGTGTGGGACCTTTTTTAATGCTCGACCGTATATTTGCTCACAAGTTAAACACGTGTTAAGCTCTACCACTAACAGAAAGAGAAGTGTTAAATATAACCCTTTCCAATACTTTACTTATCAAAAAAAAAAAGTTACCTTTCCAATAACTAATTACTTTTACAGTCCAATTTTTGGTTGGGTCTCTTGTTGTGTGTAATCTTTCCTATTATAATTCTACGAAAAAATGAAAAGACGATTCTCAGCCCAAAATTTTCCCCTCTAAAAACTCCCCTTTTCTCCGACTAAAAATTTCTTCAAAGTTCACAGAGAATTCATGGTTGAATTGATACTGGCAGCGAAGCTGCAAAATTAATCTGTCAGCTCCTTTCTCTCAACAGATCAGTTTTTCATCAATTGGTGATGATTGCGAGGCAAAGGAGATGTAGAACAATAAATCCTAAAAATCAAACCATGTTTATCTTCTACCATCTGATGATTGAGTGGATCAGATTCTAGGGCTTTCTGTTGTGGTTTGAGGAGGAGGTGAAGTGACAGGACCTCTTCTGAACCGGACGTGACTGGTTCAGGTCTGAATGAGCAAGGAAATTTTCTTGAACTTGTTTGATAGCGGCCAAAAGCCCTGTAATTGGTGTTGCCGTTCATGGCGGATTTAGGGTTTGCAGAGGTGTTGTTGTCTTGGTACTTCTGTTGTTGTTGGGTTTGATGTGAGAACAATCTGATGACATGCAAAACCCTCTGTAGCCCTGGCCGCTTCTTGCACCACCTCATGTACATCAGAATTATTAGATTCATCTAGTCTCGATTAAACTCACCTCTCTCTCACAAAATTTTAGTGAGAGAGAGGTGAGTTTAGAGAGACAATTTCCCTCGAGTTGTACTATAATGGGATAAGATGATAAATACACCCGGATGAGAGACCAAAAGAGAATGGACAGTAGAAGTAATTAATTTTTGGGAAATATAATTACAGGTGTCAAGCTGCTAAGCAGCGACTGAGCTACCACAGTCGCTGGGCAACTGTGGTTATTATATTTTTCTTTTGTTGTGTGTGTGCGCGCGTGTTGTGGTGGTGGGGTGGGGTGGAGGCAGCAACTAAGTAAACTCACATTAACATTTGTAATGTACTGACAAAGTGCACATTTGACTGATGGAGCTCCATATGGATACATGAGCAATGTACGGCAATTCCCACAGTTCATCTGAGCAAGCTGGCTTGACGCTTCACATGCACAACAAGATGGCCCAAAGTTAGACATACAGCAAGTCAAATAATAGAAGAGGAAAAGGAAAAGGCACCAAACTATAAATTAAAAGGATCCATGCATGCAATCTAGAAACACATACCGACACTAGAATTATAATACAAAAATTTGGTTATACATGTAGGTTCTCTAGCATTCATAAGAATGGGACCACAAATAAGATAACAATTTTTTTCTTAATTGATAATCTCGAGCTTACCAAAAGCTTTTGGGATTGAAACCAAGGCAGGTTTCGAGTATTTTAGAAAGGGTGCAATTTTTCAAGCATAATGGTTCACAAAAGGGAATAATTAATCACAAGGGTGCATACAGAAACCATTTCAGGACTATATACTAAAGTCAAAAGTAATTTCCACTTGCCAATTTCAGGTTATATTTGCAGTAAAAATTAAAAGATAACTCACAATACTTAACCATGTAACTTTAACTCAAGGAAACTCATCTTTTGAGTTTAAGAAGTGACCATATGTACTAAGAGAAACAAAAATAAATGGCTGACGCAACTGAAACAACTGCCTTGCTGCTACAAAAATTCACTCACTAGATTGCTTGAAGTTGTTGAAGTCTACAATATCCAACAAATCACAATTTGTTTTTCCTATTAATTGTTTACAACAATGTACCATTCATGCTCAGCTCGTACCGGGGCACCCGTGCACAAACCCCAAGTTGATTTCCATAATAAAGACAATCATAGAGAAAACAGAAGATATACCAGCTCTAATAGTTCAAGGAAATGACATCACTACTAGAAGGAAGCCAGCCAGAAGCCAACAAAAAATAGATGCCACAGAGTGTCCTTTATTCGTTTTCTCTCCTCCCTCTCTTTCACCCACCACACGCACACACATACACACACCAAAAAGAAGAAAAATATATTCTCCATGCTGTTCAATCTTTCCTCTTCTTTATTTCTCAAAGGACTAAAATTTCAGCAGTAATGCCGAAAAATCAGACCCAGTATACCTTCCACAAAGAAATTGATACAAATTAATTCTCAACAGTACTCTAGAAAGTGGTCCCTTCCCCAGAGTTCATAACGCATGATAAGAAGACATATAACTTTAAATGCCAGATTGCTGATAATTCAAGCAACAATTAAATTGAGCTTACAGATCATAACATTATGTCTGAGTCAAGGGACCTAGACATCAACCTATACAATGATTGATCTTTCACATACAATGGGCAATAATCTTCAAATATGTGTACCTGGCGCAAGGTTCACCGTTTGACAGCAGGAGCATCGCACACTTGTAGCTCCACGTGCATACATTAGCAATGTACGACAACCTCGACATATAAGTTGGGACATTTCAGATCCTGCAGTGGTTTTGCATTAACTTAAGTGATCAAGCCCCATATCTCAATAATTAATGCTTAGAAAATACATAATCTAAATGTCTAATATTTATCCTTTTAATGCTTGCTTCCAAATAGACATTACTAGCAAAAATATGCGTTTTTCCTCTCAGATCCACTAAATTCCCTCCGCAACACTAAGGCTATTTGTGATATTAGCTTAGGCTAAAATTAATTTAATTATTATTTTTTTCATTTAAACGTAATTGATAATTTATATTTTCAGTTATGTAGATTTTTGGTTATTTTATTTTGGTCTATAAACTTAAGATATGAGAGTGTCCACATTACTTAAGCAATCACACGTGCACCAGTCAACTTAAGTCTTTAAGTGGCATGGCACTTCAAAACAAATGGAAACTTGGCACATGAGCAAGGATATACTCCGTGTTAGAATAAGAAACAAATACGCTAACGGGAAGCTAGAATAACATAATTGAATATAGAAATGAAAAGTCATAAGGGATAGTGTGTCCACAACACATACCAACAAATGCATCAGTACAAAGGAGTGATCACTTCCATGTTAAGGTGTAAAAAGGGGAAACAAAAGCCAACAAGGTGGGTTGAGGCCAAAATTCAAAGTGATTGTACAGGTCGCTAACTTGAAAGCCACAGAGTGACCCACCCATGGTGTATAAAATCAGTATCAATTGATATTCGACAACACACTAAAATTAAATAAAGCAAACATAATAAACAATCTATAGATCCATTAAATAAGTAACATGCACCATTTAGTTCATACAAGACTATCTAAAGAATCGATACAAGCACCATTGCTTTAGTATCACAATATTGCATACTATATACTCCCTCTGTCCCAAAAAAAATGTCATGCTTTCCTTTTATGGAAAGATGTAAAAAATATTGTTTGAAAAAGGAAAGTGACAAGTATTTTGGGACCGAAAGATGTAAAAAATATTGTTTGAAAAAGGAAAGTGACAAGTATTTTGGGAGTATTTTGGGACTTGGA